ATGGAGAGAGGGTCATGCTGGCCCTGTGTGCAGACAAGCACATGTGGCTTTCTTTATATTAAGGGTTCAAGCACGAGCCTGTGTAAACAAGCAGCTGTGATTGTTTGTCTGTCACGTAGCACGTGTAAGGGTGTGTGCGGCCTGTTCGTAACACAAACCCCGAGATCAGTGACGGTGGCCTGTTTGATGAAATGCCAAGGCGAGGGTGAACACTAATAAAAGGTAAATAAGCCAAATGGAGCAGCGAGAGCGCAGGTCGCTGTGACTGAAGGGCAAACACCGTCAGCGCGTTTGATACGGAAGCCGTTCTCCAGGCTATCTGGGAAGGATATTGAAAGGCTCACATTAAAGGTTACATCGAAATGAACAGCGGAGAGCCACCACGTGCCGGAGGATTCCAGAACATTCTGCGGAATTCTGCGAGGATCATGGATCTGTGTTATGAGCTTGGCTGGGCGACTTTGAGAGGGCGCATGCTGCCGTATTATTTATTGATATGAATTTAGAATGAATGGGGCCCACACATTTTATGGAGTGAAGCAGGGCTGGGTGATATCATACTGAGATTGTGATAAAATTTATGTCGATAACCAAAAAAGGACCTGGACACTTTCACTTAGTATAGACTGATCTAAGACTCACTTCAACATATCATCAGGAAAGCTATCGTCAAATACACACTTAGGGGGTGTTTACATGACAGTGTTTTCAACTAAAAATGTAAAACTTTGTATGCATTCTGGTCATTCATTTACATGACACCGGCATTTTGGGGGCTTGAAAATTTAAACTTTCGAAAATGGGTTTCAAAGTGCAAGTTTTTGAAAACTATACCATTATCATCCACGATAACACAAAAGCAAAATTCGTGAAAACACTGTCAGCATGCACATGTGTATTATGTGTTTAGTCTATACGTATGGGTGTAGTAGTGTTTCTTTACAAAGTGACATCGCCAACTACTGGCCTGACATGTATAATACAGTGTTTTATGTCATATTCGGAGATACATGTGAACAGGGATCGTTTTAACAACACTGAACTATGTCGAAAAAAAGTAAAGAAAACATTTTTATTCAGAAGGTGGGACTATACTGCGCATTGCACTTTCCCCCATTCATAAGCAACAGGACTGCACCGTCTTCGTATATCTAAAAAGTAAAGTCGTATAATAATAATAATAATAATAATAATAGTATTCTTATTTTTAAGGAATATCACAAAAACTGGATCTTTTTCATCCATATTTTAATGTATACAGTTCTTTTGTGCAGCATTTTAGTTGACATTTTATTTGTAAAATAATTGTTATATATTCATTTGATTACATTTAAAAGATTGATTAAATTGTTAAAGTTTTACTAATAAATCATAAAACACAGAACCCAGAAAAAATATAAATGAAAAGGAAAACACAAAATTTAAGGGAAAAATAAAATGCATTTCATTAGGCACTAAATTAAAATGTTAATTGTGAATAAACAAGCTAGTTTCCATTCAAGGTCTAACAAACATGGACGTCCTTTCATTCCTCAATAATGAATATCATTCATGATAAATATCAATATCATATGATATAAAAAAAAATGTGATCATGTTTTTAGCCACATCACCCAGCCCTAGACTGAAGTTTGTGTGTGTGTGTGTCACCGACGCACACATATACACACTGTTCCGATAATGAAGTAGCTGCAACCTGGCGTCCAAAACAAAAAAAAATCACGGCACTTGATATAAATATACATGAGTTTACAGCAATTAAAAACTTGTCCGAATTGCTTTTGAGGAGGACAATGACACCGGCAGCAGCGCTATGGGCCATCTATTGGAATGGAGATGTAATTTCTTTGCAAGGCAGTGCATTGCTCTTTCTCTGACTTTATTGCTTTGCTAATTAAACATTTTCTTTCCGCTTTGCACCCAAACCGAGCAACTAATACCGCTCAGGAGAGAGCGTGTCTCCACATAAACCGCATGCCCCCTTTCCCAAAAGAACCTCAGCTTGTTGAAGGCCATCGTAAAGTTATTCATCAATACTGGAGTGCCTGGCGCAGCTTGCTGGGCGGAAAATAATTAGAAGCACTTCGACAAACCTAATCTTCATGCCGTATACATGTTGTTGTTATCTTTTAATTTATGGGCGGCAGAGAAAAGGCAATAATGCATTCATTTTATCAAAGCTCCCCAAAGGAAAGCAGATGTAGAGGGAGCAAGAGAGACTCTTCTTGGCTTTCACCCACTCTTTCTACCTCTTTTCGTTCTCTCTCCCTCTTTAACGAGCAGGATGTCAGATGATTAGCATGCTAAATGGCTCATCAAGGGCTGCTAAAGTCGCCGCAGTATCTGCCTCGTAAAGGCTCGTAAAACAAAGAGCTGCTGATATTCAAATCCTCGCCCGCACACCTACGTCTTTCTGCTGCAGATTTACGAACTTCACCAAACAGTCTGGCTTCCATTGTTTTCTAAACTAATAAACAAAAACAATAGAAGGCACTTGGGGCGTGCATACATTCTTAGTTATCATTTTTATAAACATCAAGGTTTTTGAGTTAAAAATTTTCGGAACGTACTGTAATGAAAAGTATTTAACTTCAAGTGGCTGGCCATAGTTTCTTTCTTTGAAAGTTCTGTTTGTTTGTTTGACCATTTTTATCACATTATTGCACCATGTCAAATGAAGTAGGCATACACATATTTCCACATCCACTCTCTAAAACAATATGAGGTCATAAAACTTACACAATGGTTAAATGTTGTTTAAAATAGTTTTAGATGGATTTCACCATATAAAAAGTGTTTAATGCCAACTACCTGAAATCAGATTACCCATAAATTTAGAATAAATGGGCATTGCTAGCAGGATTACAATTTACAAATTAAATTTTTTTTAAGGTATAACAAAGCAAATATGGAGTGAATCCAGGTAACTTTTGACACTTTTGGCTATTGAGATGACTGGGGGGGGGGGGTTAAATTATCCTGGTTCTCCAGGGCAGCAGGGGGTGCTGCACCACATACAGCTCTCAGATACAATACAATTCACTGCATGGAAACATGGCCATTATTATCTCTTTTCAAAGAAAAAAAAGCTACCATTATTCACCTTATTCCGCCCCGCCCACTTTTAATACTTCGCTCTTCCTTTGTCATCCGACTTCCGCTAAACTGATACGGCACATCCGGTAACTAGTTCAGTAGTTGTAAGATTGTTTATAGCTAGCTATAACTGTGGCGAAATGACAAAGAACGTTAATGCCGTAAATGTTATAAATTGGGAGCACGGTGAAAGCTGCTGACCTGATGACCATCTGCAGACTAAGTATCTTGTCTAATCTCTTAATTGTACAGTGGAGTAAGGTAAGTGAATATTTATAAATGACATATTATAAAAGGAGGAGGCTGAAACTTGGAAGTGAAAAACGCCATATATTCAGTTGTGCATACTTATTAGGCAGATTTTCTTTTACAGATAAAATGAGCCAACAAAGATTATATATCACTTATAAATATTGTATAGTATGCCCCGACCCAGATTCCACTCCACAATATGTTTGATCATGCTCATTTCCCAAAATGGCTTAATTATTATAGAGAAGAAAGTCAACAGTTATGTTGTTTCTAGACCATTTGGGATGATCACATCCTGAGCAAATGGTGACCAATTGTAGAACGGGAGCGGGTGTGGGACACCGAGAACCACCTCAGACAAAGGGGTGTCAGAACTTAATTAACATACAGACCACAGCTGTTACAACAGGAGCAACTTAATTTGCATTAAGGGTAGTAAACTGTAACTGATAAGATTTGGTAGGTGTACATTAAGTGTAACATTAAGTCTAATCATTGTATCACCTGATACAAGGAATAAGGTAGGTAAACATCAAGTGTAATAATAAGGAATGATTTTGAAATAAGACAACTGTGAAAGTTTTGAAATTTCTTTTAAGTATACAAACTAGTGCTGGCCAATGATTAATTGCATTCAAAATGCAAGTTTTTGTTTACATAATATATGTGTGTGTACTGTGTATGTTTATTATGGCTATATAAATACACACACATGCATGTATATATTTCAGAAAAATATGTTGTTTCTATATTAAATATATTTATAATATAAATTATATGAATATAAATATATACATGGAAATATTTTCAAAATATATACTGAATGTGTGTATATTTATATATACATACTAAATATACACAGTATACACATATATTATGTAAAGAAACACTTTTACTTTTGATGCGATTAATCGCAATTAATCGTTTGACAGCACTAGTTTAGACCCATGCATTTCTCCTTTTACTTTCTAGATTTTGTTGTTCCTGTCCTTAAAGTCTGTGTAAGGAAATTCAGAGAATTGTTTCTAAACACATTATAAATGTTAGAAATGTATTGCTGAAAACATGTTACAAAAGACTGTGAACTATGTAGTACTGAATAGTGTAGTTAGAACGTTAAACAGTTTTTCACCATTTTTGTGTTCAGGATTTTTTGGGCGGGCCTGAAATCATTTCTCGATGACACACTGGAGCCACTGAGCACGGCCCCTCCCCTAACACTATAATAACTAGAGCGCATTAGCATCAGTGGTTCACCCGTTACTGTCATTAGCATTAGTTACTACAGCCTACAGTTTGCTAGCTAGCTATGCCTTCTTCATGTAAATGCATGTTACCTGTAGCGGTATTTGACAGTTGAGAGAGGCTGCGGCTTTCCCTCGAGTGGGTGTGGTTTTGATAACTTATTTTATTTACTTGGCGATTTATTTAGCATTCAAATTTGGCTGAGTCAAGGTTGCGTGGCTTTTGAAGGGGTGTCTCTGAACATTCGATCACACATGTTGTATTTGGGAATTGTTCTCTGAAACATTGTTGCCTGGATTGTCTCCCTGGGAAGCCATGGTATGTAATCCTTCATGTTCTCCTCCATGATGTCAATCCAACATGAAATCACCTTGCTTACAATGGACTGAGAAAACACCAAACCTTACAGCAAGATCACCCTGCAATAAATTAAGACGCAGCTTCGTCAGAGTCATCAGGAGCTGATCCCAAGTGTGTAGCTGGAAGCTGTTGGTGTATGTACTGGACCTGGTAAGGTGCTCGGCAACTGAATGAAATGCATCCAATGTCAACCCTGTGTATAGCTGACAAAGGTTGTGTTCCCATGTAGGTGGCTTCAGGTTGAGATGTGATTTTGAACTGTAGTTGTGGTCAGAGACAGATGACAGATGGCATTGTGTTTCTGCATCACAGTTCAGGGGCATGTGGATGTGATCACCCTCACAGTTGTCCACTGCATCACTGGCGGTCATCGACACATCTGTGGAAATAATATTAAACATATTTTTACATTAGTACTTAAAATACATCATGAGAATTAATATATGATGGGACCCATACTTAGAACAGTGTGTGTGAGAGAGAGATGCATTAAAAACAAAACAGTATACACGCTCTAACTGTAGTGTTAAAACGTAGATCAATATCTGAATGAGAAATGTAGCTAATGTAGCTACTATCATCTGCAATCTCTGTAACTTACAGGAATAATGTGAGCTATTGTAATGTACCATAAGTACCATAATTATCGTAAATATGAAATAAATAGGTGGGCAATGGTAATCATGCAAAATTCGTTGTACTTTGTTAACTGCTCGTTACTGATCTTAAATGTATTCACAGAACGGACTTCATAAATCTAACGTTAGGCGAACAAGCACATAGCTAGCTAAGTTAACGTTAGCTTACCTGAATCTGACAACCTTTTCAGCACCTGGCGTGACTTCTTTACCGGAACATCGTAGCCGAGCCATTTCTCGGGGTAAGGGTGTTCGTCAGTCGGCTTCCCGTCCATGAAATGGTACGAACACACATAAGGGCGCTTGGGTGGGCGCTTCAAATTTAGCGCCTTCAGCCATTGCCTCAGGTGCTCCTCTTCTTTAGGTGGCGGGTGTAAATTGTAAAGTGCACCACAACACTCCGACCGCTTCACATTGTGTTCGTAACATCGTTGGTGCAATTGTTCTCTTCTCTTAATCCAATTGTTATGGCAGCCCCTAACTGAGCATATAATACTTGACATTTGCGTTCTGTTATCTATCTTCGGTAGGCCCCTCTCAGCCGGAAGTAAGATGACAAAACGAACGCAATGGCGGCACCATTGTTGCCGTGGAAAATAAGGTGAATACGGAGAAGAAAATGCCACTGCCATCGAAACTTTTCA